TTTTGACACTGAAATCAGGTGCTTTACACCCAGAAGCTAGTATAGTGCCTAATGCTTAGTAAGACTCAAATGTTTGTTGAATGTATGTATTTGCACATGTATGTGTAGGACAATTTGTTTTCAAGGGAGCCCACTGTCATGTTTGAAGAGGTTCATGTTATTCTTTACAGTTGGTGTTATAGCCCAATTATTTATCACATTCATTACATCAAGCAAAGTGAATCAGAATTTAAGTAAATCGAATTTTGTGATCAGTTCTGCAATATCTTCTATTTTATTTTTAAACTCCAATATATAATTTTGTGACATGTATTTTCCTATGTGTGGAGTTGAAGTAGTTGAATTGGAGGTGATTTAGGCATTGATTACAGCATCATGGTTTTGTATCACTGAGCTAGAAATCACTCAGACCCTAAGCAAATACTTAAAGAACGTCTTAATTGATAGAACACTGTGTTAGAAAGTGGTTATACAATGGTGAATGAAACAGTCATGCTTGCTGCCCTTGTGGAACTTAGTGGAAGAGACAGGCAAATAAATAACCACATAAACTATATATAACCACATATGAATGCAAATTGAGGTAAATAATTTGAAAGAAAAGAGCTAGTTATTTGAGAAAGAAATGCAGAATGGAGCTGTAAATCATCAGATTCTTTCATATATATAGCTGAAATCTTTTCAATTCCTTTAGGGCAGCGGTTCTCAAACTTAAGTATGCATCAAAGGCACAAGAAGTATTTGTTAAAACATAGGTTTCTGGGCCCCACATTCAAAGTTTGTTATTCACTAGGTCTGGGCTAGCCATGAAGATTTGCATTTCTTTAAGTTCTTAGGTGATTGTGATTCTGCTGATCTAGAGAACCACATTTCAAGAACCACTGATCAAGAGTAGTGGTTTTCAGCACATTGGAATCACATGTAGAACTTGAACAAAATATTGATGCTTTAGTTCCTATTCCTATAAATTTTAACTTAATTATGGCCTGAACATGGGGCTTTTGAAGGACCTCAGTGATTATGATGTTCAACTAGGGTAGTGAGCTATCAGTCTAGAATTTGAATATGTATATCCATGCAGTTTCTTAGTGGGGCACAAAGGCATGGAGGACATGGGGAAAAGATTGGAATAGAAGGCTTCAGAAAGAAGTCCCTGAACCAAGGCTTAAAATATCTGTGAACACCATCGATTGACAAAGGGAGAAGAGAGTATGTCAGACAGAAGAAACTGATGACATACAAATATGTAGGAGGAGGTTTTATTTCATGAAATATAAGTAATCCTCGATTGTAAATTGGCTACAATCCTGAAATACAACCATTCTGATGTTGAATACCTCCTATTTCTGAAACAGAATGATTATTTTTAATATACAAATAAATATAAACATAGGATCATCTATACCAAATTGAAATAATTTTTATTCATAATTTATTCTGTTTAATAGGATGAGAAGAAGAAACCGAAAGACTAGGAGATACGGGGTTTTGGACACTAACATAGAAAACATGGAATTGACACCTTTAGAACAAGATGACGAGGATGATGATAACACATTGTTTGATGCCAATCATCCTCGAAGGTAAGTATTCTAATTTCATGAATCAAGAAACAAGTCCTTGCCAAGTAAATTGAAGTGAAGTGGACTTTTGTTTAACAGTTTTTATTCCAATAGATTTTATTCAGTTATGTTTAATGAATTTCTTTTTGCTACCTAGCTTATAGCTCACATTCATATTGCTTTGCTGAAGATACAAACAGCGGAATAATACTATCTCAAAAAGAAATCTTAATTGTAATCTCTTCTTGGACAGCTTTGTCTTTGACCTTCTTCATTCTAATATCTATTAACTCTGTGTTTGTGTGAAAGAGAGAGAGAGAGATTTAGTAAACTTAATTTTCTTTTTGTATTCTGAA